TATATATGATAGTAGAAGTACAGGTGTACATAACACTTATATGAAGTGAAGTCACTTGATTTTTTTTATTTTTTGTAGAACTCACTTAATGTGAGTGTTATCTATAATATTACGTAGCTATAAATTTCTCAATTAGTTATACATATACTAACTCATATTTTCAAGTACTATCAAATAGTACAATAGTAAATGAGATATTTTCAAACACATATATATTATTTATGGCAACCATCATTAGGTCTTAGGACTCCTAAACAGGTCACTACAAAATAAATGTTATATTCCAACGAAAAATCCTATGGTAATATATTTCAATAGAAATTCCAACGGATATTCCAATGGTATAGCTTCCGTTGGAATGGTTCCAACGGAAATTCCAACGGAAATATTCCATTGGAATGTGTTTTTCATTGGAATTTTAGATGGAATTTGATGATTTCAACGTCTATATTTCCAACGATTTTTTACCGTAGGAATTTCCGTTGAAATATGCAAATTCCGTTGGAATTTTTATTTCCACTCCCGTTGGAAAATCCACCTTTGAATCGTCAAAATCTAACAGAAATTCCAATGGAAAACTCATTCCAACCGAATATTTTTGTTGGAATTTCTGTTGGAATCTATTGAAAAATTCCAACGAAAATAATAGTATTGAAATATCGTTGAAATTGCCGTTGGAATAATTCTTTTGAAATAGATTTTCGTTGGAATTCCATCATTTTCTTGTAGTAGGTTTCTTGTAGTAGGTTGTTTAGACATTATTATTATTTAAAGTGGTGCCAAATTGAGTACTTATTATATTTATTAAAAAGTACCTACATTATTATACAATACATAGATGAGGTGGGCCCAAAATAGTACTAATATGGATAGGGAAAATGAAGTTGACAGGCAAAGGGCCTGAAATCGATGACAGTTGTAAGCAATTAAATAATTGTATCTGGTCAGGGAATGTTGTTACTTGTTGCCCCGTCAAACAATAATGAATGATTCCAAATTCCCAGCCCATAACCAGCTTTCACAATCATTAATTCATTGCCTCTTTTTCACCGCTTCAATATATTTTGCATTTACTTTTTTTCTTCTCAACTATTATTATCTCATCTCATCTCATCGCAAGCACATATGGAATAAATTAACTAATTAACCTGTGTTTGTATTGCATACAACAATTTTTTTTATTGAAACCCAAACTTTTGAGATTTCTGAACTCCAATATATAGAATAATGATAAAACTAACTGATAAGTTAAATAAGCTAGTTAGCTTATAACTTATAAGTGATTTTGAGCCTATAGTTGAAAAACTAGTTTATATAATAAAAATGTTTGGTAATATTAACTGATAAGCTAGTTGTAATAAAAATTTCAACGAATTTATTTGAAAAGCTATCCAAAAATGCTTATAAGATAAGTTCGAACTTTTTAAAAAAACTTGTTCTACCAAAGAATATTTTAAATAAAGTAAGCTTATAAATTAACCAAATAAAAGCTATAAGTTAATTTATTTGCCAAAGCTATAAGTTAATTTATTTGCCTATCAAACATTGCCACACACATGGACATAATATCATGACAACACCTAATCACTCTAATATTTATCTATATGTCTCGCACCTATTTGCTTATCAGTAATGCTAAGGAGCTAACTGTTGGCTCTGTTACGGAGCCAACAATCAATGAAACAGCTCCATGTGGTTGTCCTACATTGAAGCCATGTGGGACAATCCCACATAGAGCTGTCCTATTGGTTGTTAGCTCCGTAACGAAACACGCTCCTTATCATTATTATTTCCATAAGTGCAAACAAATACTCCATTATTGAAGCCTTTCTTTATCTTTTTCATCTTGTCAGTAGAACTTTGTTTTTTTGAGTTATGTCACATTATGTGAGCTTGGGGCCCACTAAACTATAATATTTTTGAAAAGCAAAGTAGGCATTATTCTCGTGTAACATGTAAATATATTTGCTATACAACTGGATGACAGCGTTTCTTAATTAATTACTATATATCATCATAGCTCTTGCTTTAAATCGGTTGTTATGTATTCACCATGCGGCCGTTTCAGATGGTGTATATTGTATAGACTTGACTATAATATTCATGATTTAGCATCAACTTTAAAATTATGAAATTCGAGGAAAATAAACTAACCAAAATTGAGTGAATTAAAACAAGCAAACACATTACTCCCACCTATTCATAATAAGTGTAGTTTTTGAGAAATTACGCAGTAATTAAGAATATTGTTTCTGCCAATAATAACACTCTTTAATGAAAACAGAGATGGATGTTTTGAGCAAAAGATAAAGAGTGAATATGAAAATAAGTAATGTATTTATTAACTAAATGAAAATAATAATAATAATAAAATATGTACAAAAATCCAAAATGTTGTTTAATGATTGATAAATCTAAAATGATATTTAAAAAGAACGAGAAGTAGTAGTTGTTATTTAAAAATAACATAATTATCTCTTGGGAAATCACAAAAGGGAAAGTTAATTTTTCAGAAGTAACATGATATATCTCATCTCATATCACTCAGGAGTTTGATTTTGTGTTCAGCCCTTCCAAATTCCAATAGAGAATGGGCCCTACTTACTCGGTACATCGAGAAAGAGATGGGCTCACTCGTCCTCTCCTCGTGTGGGTAAAGAATAATAAGATAACCTTCCACCTCGGGTGAATAAAGAAAATATACTAAAAGGGCTTTTATATGACTAATTACTGTCTGTAATACCAGAAATAATGTTTTTTTTTTTATTATTATCATTAAAAAAAGGTTTAGAGAAAAGGTACAATTTGATTAGACTTGTAGGATTCGATTGATGGTACAAAAAACAAAGTAAAAGCAAAAATGAAAATAAGTAGGAATTGGATAAATAGCAACATCATCATCATCATCATCATGAGTACTTAATAATCAATATTACCTCTAATTAATTATTATTTAATATTATTAACTATTAACAAAATAAACATCGATTTAGATATTTTGTACATATTTTTTCATTATTACCCTCATCTAACTAATAAATACACTACAGTTTTTTCATATTCACTCTTCATCTTTTCTCAAAATGCTCTCTATCTTCATTAATGGGGGTTGTTATTGACAAAAAATATTATTAATCACTGTGCAACTTCTCAAAACGACACGAGGGAGTAAATAATGCAGTGCAGGCCTTAATTAGAAATGAGAGAAAGAAAGGTTAATTTACTTACATCTTGAAAATCTTGTGGTGTGAGAAACCCTGATTTGAGCATAGTTGCAGCAACAAATATAGCAAGCTTAATCTTGTTGGGACCAAATTTGTGAATAGCTTGAGTTAAACTTAGTCCCCCTGCACTATGCCCCACCAATATAACCTGCACCATCATTATCATCATTCTATCATTATGAGTATAAATAATATAATGAAGAAGAAGAAGAAAAAGATATTAATTATAATTATGAGTAAAATAAATAGAAAAACCTGGTGATTGTGAGGTAAAGAAGAGAGGAAGTGAATGAGAGGGTTATTATATTGTTGGAAAGTGAGAATAGTATTGGGGTCGGTAAGATCCATGCCAGCGCCTTTGAGGTCAATACAGGAAACCCGATAACCCGAATTCTCCATCAGACACTTAATCTTATACCAACACCACGCACCTCCTCCAATCCCATGAACAAACACAAAGTGCGCTGCTGTTGCTGCTGCTCCTGCAGATTTCTTCAACACTTCCATCTCTCTCTCTCTCTCTCACCTTTTTTTTTTCTTTTTCTTTTTCTTTTTCTTTTTATATATTGGGTGTGTGTGTGTGTGTAAGTGTATTTGAAGTAATCGACCGATACGTGTGAGATGGAACCTTATTTCAAAGTTCCAGCAAATTGAGATAATGGGTGTGTTGTGTACGCGTATACCAAGACTTTTTTTTTAATATATATTTGAATTAAATATTGTCACCATTCATTCTGTTCAAATTAGACGTGACCAGGTGCCGGGTCCGGGCCCGGCCCGGCCCGGCCCGCCGGGCCACGGGTCCCGAA